CTAGGTTCGAGCTCAAATAAAGACAAATGAGCTAGCTCCAATCAAGTTTGATTGAACTACCTATAGCTATATTTGGCTAAGATTGAGAATACTACTTCAACGAATCATTAGGAATGATCAAATTCACAACTCAATATTAGATGCAACTATTTTAATAAAATGTGTTCTTCACTAATTGATAGAAAAATAAGTAAAATTGTGAAAAAATATAAAGGTCCAAGAGGCTCGGTAAAGATTTGGAGTGATGATCTTCATTGACAAGACAATGTTCCTGATAAAGTAACAACTTGATATATATTCAAGTCTTCATGGAAGGTAGATTAATAGCTATATAGATGTGGATTGATTATCATAGCTTAAGATTGTAGGCCATGTAATAGGAAAAGCAAACTCTTCAAGAAGAGTTTTAATCCACATCATTTCATTGGCAAAATAAGCATATGACCAGGAAAAATGCTTCAACGCTAGATCTAGCCACAACTATTTGTTCTTAATTCTCCAAGAGAGAGGATTTCAACCAACAAAATAGAGTATATAAAAGTTGATTTCTTATATTCAACAAACCTAGAATAATTATCATCTCCATGAAATTCAAAGCATACATGATCATTTCTCTAATATACAACTTCTTTTCAAATGATTTTTTACTATTTCAAAATTCTCGAGACAGCCTCATGATTTTTACGCTTTAGGATACTGCATGTGCTAGCAAATTACACCAAAAATAAAAGATCTTCAAGATTTGTGAAGATTGATAAGCTTGCACAAAAAATGACAAAAGCAATAAGAACATTCAAAGATTTCTTTATTCTCAGATGCTTGCAAAATATTTATGCGATAGTTAACAAGCATAAATTAACAAAAAAAAATTTCTTTCATAAAGATGTATATTATCTTAAAGAGGAAAAAATTGCCTTATTTGTTATATTAAAACTCCAAACCAAGAAGGTATGTGCCCACCCCATAAACAATTGTTTATTTCAAGTCAATACCATATTTCAATTATTCTCAATATCACTCCCATATCACTGCCAATGAGGATGATGTCATCAATAAGCAAAACAAAAATTACAATGCCAAAAGAAGAGTGCCCAGAAAAGAAAGAATAATAACGACACTGCTTCGTAGTTCAATATTAATTTCTTAAATTTATAGAATCTAAGATGAGAGTTAGTTTCAATAATAAAAAGCTTTCAAAACTTGCATATTTTGTCATGATCTCAAGTATCAAACATTTCAATCAAAGAAGAGGAGATGGAAATGGCAATCACTAAACTAGAATTTCAGAGAAAAGAAATTGATTTTGATTACAAGACAAAATGCAAATTGTTGGGAGATGTAAATTGTGTAAACTGATTCGAGAGATCGAAAGAAAAACTTTGAACAGAAGCACACATAGCAAGAAACCATAGAAATCAAAAAATTATTGTGAATAAACCCAAGAACAAGAGAAAACCATGAATTCATACCACACTAAGAAATACACTATGAAGAAAATGAGAATCGTACAAATTACAGTCAAGACTCTCCACAATTTAGAGCACTCCATGACACTCCTCTCCTTTGCATTAGAGAATTTAAAATCCAACACACTCCAATCAGCAAAACTGATAGAATAAAAAAAATGCCCAAAATCGATAGCGGGCGCCGTGATATGGTGCTACAACGCTCCAATGAGCGCTATATCCGAGAGTTGCAGTGCCATACTCTCGATTCTAAAATTGGACTAGGTGAGGCGATGTTATATTATGAAAAATAGGGTGTTATTGGTCTTGGTACTGGAGCACAGCAGGTAAGGCGTATATGTGCTATTTACGTAAAAGAAAATTTTGGAGCAACCCCCCCCCATACCCCTCAGCAAACTCACTGTCATACTTAATCAACAAAATTGATGGCTCTGAGAGTAGAATTGATTGACAAATCAAGCTTCACATAATAACAATCTCCCACTTTGAGACTGGTTGCAATCAAAATTGTTCATTCAAATCTGCAGCAGTTTTATATTTATGAATTGTAGTGTGACTTATCCAGGTCTCAACCTTCCTGAACTTCAGCTGAAGTTAAGCATAACTTCAATTTCTTAGCCATCATAGCCTTAATCAATATGTCTGTCAGATTTTGAGCTGTGTATATCTTCTCCAAAGATAATTGATCATCTTCTAAAAGTGAATGGATGAAATGATACTTTAGTTGAATGTGTTCTGTTCGGACATGAAATGCGGCATACTTTGGTAGATGAATAACACTCATATTATCACTGTGAATATTTTCATTCTCTTGCGCCTTATCAAATTTTGTCATAAGGTATTGCAGCTAAATGATTTCTTACTAGTCTTACTGATAGCAATATATTCAAATTTTATAGTTGATAGAGCAGCAATCTGCTATAATTTAAAAATCTAATTCACCGTTGTGTTCCACATAGTGAAGACATAACCTATTATATTTATTCTACCATCAATATTTCCTACAAGATCTGAATCCATATAATTCTACTTATTAGTCCATGCACTTCCAAAATAAAGTATTTAGTTGAATGTTCCTCTCAAGTATCAGAGAATCAACCTCGCCTCTTTGCAATGATATTTATATGAAGTACTCATGTATCAGCTGGCCCCTCCCACTACACCTGCAACACCCGCTCTTGTGCATATCATCGCATAAATTAAAATTCCAATAGTTGAAGCATACGAGATTCTTTTCATCTATATTTGTTTTGCTTCAAATTTAGGTGATCGTTCCTTAGATAGTTTAAAGTGACAAGCTAAGGTGGTGCAAATTGATTTTGTCTCAAACATGTTGAATTTGTGTATGACTTTCTCAGCATATTCTATCTGAGATAACTTCAACGTACCAGCACTTCTATCCATACTGATTCTTATAATGAGAATTTTTTTAGCTTGACCAAGATCTTTCATTTCAACATTCAAGTCTTTGATCTTCTCTATATCTGGTCCTACAATCAATGTATCATCAACATAAAAAAAGAACAATTTAAAAGTTATCAAAATATTTAATGAAATAAATATGATATGATTAACACTCATATACTCATTATCTGACATAAACCTATTTAATCGGTTGTACCATTATTTTGGTGCATGCTTCAAATTATAAAGACTTGTCTTCATTCTACAGATCACATCTTATTTTTTTGAAATTTAATATCTTTATGGTTGCATCATATACAGTTCTTCTTCTAAGTCAGCATGTAAGAAGGTTGTATTTACATCCATTTGCTCCAGTTGTAGATCTTTTACTGCTATTAAGCTCAACACAATTCTGATAGTTGTCATTTTCACCACAGAAGAAAATATCTCAGTATAGTCGGCTCACTCCTTTTATTAAAATCCCTTCACAACAAGCATCGTCTTGTCGTATTTGCTACCACCTGATTCTTCTTTCAGTTTGTAAATAAACTTGTTATGTAGTGTCCTTTTATTATATGATAGTTTTGTCAATTTTTATATTTGATTTGATTTTAATGACTGTATATCATCACCCATAACAAACGCCCACTCTTTTGAGTCATCTATTTAAAAAATCTTATCATTGCACTCCAATTCACCATTATCAGTTATTAATAAATAACACGATAAAGGAGAATATATGTGTCGGTCATGAGATTTTATTGGGCCACCTAACTTCAATAGCAGGTGTCTGAGAAAATTTATGTGTATCATCCTATTGAACACATTTACTTAGTTTATCTTCTTTATCACTAGTGTCTTTTATTTCAACATATTTAGAAGGGTCTTTAGGAGTAACTGGTGAACGATCCTGCATTCTATTTTTGTCCTTATATATATTCATTTCATTGAAATGACATCTTTGCTCCTAATAAATTTTTTATTCTGATAATCTCTGAAATTATAACCAAATCACATCAGTCATATCCAATGAACGTGTACTTGATAAATTGTATGATTAATAACAAAAACTTTCAAATGAGATAGATTTACCTCTTTAACAATATTGATTATGAGCGCCGAGGTGCCCCGATGTGTCGCGCCCCAACGTTGAGGCACTATAAACAAAAAGAAAAATAAGAGGGAGCACAAACCCCCATACCCCCCAGCAAACTCATTGTCAAGCTTGATCGATGAAATTGAGGGCTCTGAGATGACAATTGATCAACACAATCAAGCTCCACATAAAACACAAATAGGCTAACATGTGATAATTGCAAGGTCATGAATTAGGTACAAACTAGATTGTTACATTGAAACAAATACTGAGAGTGATGCATGAAGTATCATGCAGTGTGCAATTAAGGGATAGGATCATTGCAGAGAATGTCTGACAAGTGTAGTGTTGGTCATTTGTGGGTCTATATGCGAGTGGAGACTTATAGAGAAAGAGTGACATGCAGTGTGCAATTAAGGGATAGGATCATTGCAGGGAATGTCTGACGAGTGTAGTGTTGTTCATTTGTGGGTCTATACGCGAGTGGAAACTTATAGAGAAAGAGCGAGTTGTGTTAAGCAGGAACAAGATTGAAGGAAGTGAGAACAAGAGCGGGTTGCGTTAAGCGGGAACAAGATTGAAGGAAGTGAGAACAAGAGCGGAAGAGGGCAAGAGTGGAGCATGAGGAGCATTCCACAATGTGTGTGCACGCCAAATAAAAATTTCAAATATGGAGAAAGCAAGGTGGAATTGATAGGTCAAACGAATGAGAGGGGTGCAGCCTAACCTTGCTCTATTAAACTAGAGAGGAAATATTTTGCTTGTGTTTATTCACTTGGAGAACCCATTATTTATAAGAAAAATGCGGATTCAATATCATGATTAATAAAAAAAACAATAAACACTTACCAGCGCTAACATATACTATGATAAATATAGTTTTTATTTAGCTTAGTAGAGTTCCACTAATGAAGGTTTCTCTACAAATGAACAAACGCCCCAAAAACAAAACACAATCTTTTGAACTATGAAACAATATATGGCGGACATTAGACAATCTAACTCTTCAGACTATGAGTAAAATAAGCTCAAACCTGCAGCCTTGAGTAGAAGAACTGAGGCCGGGGGAGTCTTCAACACAAAAGTAAAGCTCTTATCCTGCTCAACATTTCAAAATAAAATAACATTAAAGAGGTACATTTTTTCCTCGATTTTTTTTCCGAGAACAAAAGCGAAGGAAATTGCTCACATCGTAAATGGTGACCTCGACTGGAATCACATAGCCAGCCTTGTCCGCCGTCTTGGCATTGTACTCCTTGCATACTCCTTGCAGAAAGCCATAATGAGAAAGCCATAATGTTCACGCCCTTGGAACCCAGCGCAGGTCCAACCGGCGGCGCCGGCGTGGCCTTTCCAGCATCAAGGGCAAGCTTGATTACACCCACCACTGCGAAGATAAAAAAAATGCTAAAGAGGAACTCATCAAAAAAGCTAAAATTTCGGCACAAAAAGTACCCTTCTTGGCTTTTCCCTTTGGAGGAGCCATGGATTTAACGAAGAGAGGCCTCCGGGAGGGAAGAAGGTGGCATTCTCTGTGGAAGAGTAGGCGGAAAGTGGTCTTCGGCATTAGAAAAGAGGAGGAGAGGATGCTTATCTTGGGAGACGGCGAGGGTAGACGAGGAACGAATAGGGAGGTCGAGATGGCGGAAGCCATGGAAGAGGATTCAGAAGAACGAACTGCTGCAGAGGGGGAAGGTATCAATGGTGTCGAGGACTGGTGAAGCCCAGAAGGTAACACTATCCAAGCTGGTCGCTTGGGATGGGAAAGAGACCAAAAGTGAATATAATATACCAATTCAATTTACTTTTTTAATTTGTATTTATTTATGCATCAAATCTTTTGAGAATTTATCAAAAGTAAAAAAACAAAATTATTAAGTAAATTTTTGTTATTAATTTTGTTATTGGGGTGAGAATTTAAAAAGTGGAGGTAAGATGATGATCCAAAGAAGGGTTCAACAAGTCTTAAAACTAAATTCAAGTAATGAAATATATATTAGGAACATTATTCAAATGTAATTTGAAGAGAATTTAAGCATGATTGGATTAAGATTTGAATATCATTATATCAAAGTTTAGTTAAAATTCAAATATTTTATGAATGTTTTTCGAAAAAAATTTAATCATAGTTCAATCAAAAGTTAAATATGTTTTATTTAAGTTTGAATAAGATTTGAAATAATTTGAAAAGACTATAATATAGCATAATTTATATTTGATACAATGACAAACAATTACATTAAATAATATAAAGTTCATA